TTGTTTGTAAAAGGCAGCAACCAAGTCTTCCCAAGTACGGATGTTGGTTCCTTCCAGCTGATAGAACCATTCCAATTGTGTCCCAAATAGGCTCTCTTGAAAGAGATGTACCCACAACTTTCTGTCAGCAGTATGGGATTGGATCTTCCGGACATAAGACCTCAAATGAAGTTTAGGACAAGAAACACCGCCATATTTTGCAAAAGTTGGGACCTTGAATTTGTGAGGGATAACAACTCCCGAAATAAGACCCATCTCTTAAAAATATAACCCAGGAACCCTCTGGATTTCCATGGCATTCAGACGATATTCCAGCTGTTTGTACTTGTCATTAGCGGGAGGATATTGTTCATCAGAATAGTCTTCTTCATCAGAATCTTGGCCAGAACCAAGGTTACTTCCCCTCTCAGCCTTCACACTCTTATCTTCTTCACCCTGATTGTCATCTTCGTCAGAGGGAATATCACAACTTTGAGCTTGTTTAGGAGGACCTTTGAACCTTCTTCCCATATTGAAGATGTCGTCTGGTTTTCTAGTCTTTTTCTTCTTGGCGATAAGTGCCGTCAGTTCTTTCTGCCCATTGGCCATGTTCAGGAGCGTCTCTTGGAATTGAGCATTTTGAGCTTGAAGGTCTTTCATGGTTTATTCGAGAGCCATATTTTACTGAAATAAAGAACAAGAAGTTGAGAAAACCTGTCCTGGGAATACCTGCTATGACATGATGTGTAAGGTATGTGAATGCATATGCAATGTTTTCAAGGATCTCGCGGGATAAACAAAAAGTAAATGTTATAAGTTGAGTCTGACTGCAGCTTTAACTGAATAACTTTGCATCTTTGAACGTCCTTCTTTGAGAATCAAGCTCACCATATCGAGTGGGTCCTAGCCTGTGACTCAAGATAACGTACTTTGATCTTTGATGACATCTAGTAAGAGGAAAATAAATCCTCTTTCCCCTGGCTAGCAGTCCGGTTCATGATAAACCTGCATCACAATCCCCCCAAAATCCTTGAAATGGTTAGTGAAAAATGCGATGGTATGATGTCATGATGTTATGATATCATGTTTGAACAGATAGAAAACACAAACAAAGTACACAGTAGCCTTAGGTTTAAAGCTTGCATGAGGTTCATAAGTAAGTACCCTTTTGAAGTTCAGTTGGCTCAACCTATCCTAAGAATAGTAATCAGGTTCTAGGAGTCTCATATCACCGATATTTGTCGCATGTTTTATTTTAGCAGAGCAACTGACTTGCCACCAAAATATTCAGAGAGTCGAATTTCAATGAGTGTAGTATCGAGTATCAACTAACTCTGGACTATACCAAATCCGACCATCTCACTACCTTCTAATGGCTAAGATGGGTCAATTAAAATTCTAAAAGTCATTTAGTGCTTATGACACCACACGACGGCCTATTATTCTCCTCGACTGACTCAAGGGACACCAACACGAACTAAAGTGTCACACTAACGTAGCCATCACTTTAAACATATCGGTATATGTCGTATAATTTCCATGATTTATTGCTACTTACCTAAGGTCCCTAGATCTGGGCATAAGATCTTTGTAAGAATTAAACCCAAGCAATCTTTTAAAGATAAAGCAATAAAAAACAAGTAAAGCAATTAAAGGTGATCTAAACTCTAAGGTAACCACTCTTTTAAGTATTCCCCGGTAGAGTCGCCAGTTCTGTAATACAGTCGGAGAACTGATTTGGTTTTGCGTTTTACCGCAAATGTTGCGGATAGTAAGAGTCGCCACCGACTTTTCTTTTATCCAATAAGGAAAGGGTAAAAAGAACATGAAAGACCTTGATAGATTTTGAGTTCGGAGGCTAGATTATGAAAAGGGAAGGTGTTAACACCCTTTTCATTCGTAGTTATCTACGGGATCTTAATCACTTAGCTCACTTTTGAAATTTTCTTTATGTGTGTGTTTGAAAAATACTTTGAAATTTTACCAATGTAAGGCGAACTTTGTAATGACTCTTGTGTCGATAAGAGTGTATACAAAGTGTTTGTTCGAAAATGTTATGAAAGTGTTTGTGAGAAATGTTTTTGTGAGAAAGCGATTAAGATTATCTACCCACTCAAGGCCGTTCTTGTAATTTTCCTCCTCCTTTAGATAGTGCTATCCATACCATTAGTTAGTAGGAAGTCCTATCGTTGGATTTGAAGGGACATGCTAGGGTCGTCGTACAATCATCGAAGGCAACTGGTAAGGGCTCTTTAGCAATTTCATAAGGGACTAGATCATTTATCAAAAGGCAACATCGAAAGATCATCGAGGGACTATGATCTTTGAATCAAGGGACTTTGCTAAAGCGTCCCTGGTTTCGAGGGACATGACTGTTTTCCGAAGGCAACAAGAGAGGTTAGCCTAGTGGTGTGCGTGTGCAAGTGATTTGTATTCAGTCATTATATCTTTGAGTTTATGGTTTTTCTATCGTTTGATTTTAGTCTTTTCATACAACCCTAATTACTAAGCAGTAATATAACATACAAAAAGTAAAGTGAGGAAAGTAAAAAGCAGAAAAGATAAACATAAACTATTACATCGCTTAGGGGCAGATACATAATAGAAAGCGGAAAGTAAAAACCCTAAGTTATTACAACCCATAAGCAATTACATAATAATGAAAAAGAAAAGCGAGAATAAGTACATTCGCGAAACCTATACATTCGATCTAAAGATGAAAATAGAATTGAAGGGAAAATAGTGTTTTTTTTATTATGTTTTTTATGAAAAAAAAAAGGTACTTTGATGGTGATTAACGAAACCTAAAACAACTAATTAATTTTAATTTTAAAAAAAAATTGATTAGTTAAATTAATAAAAAAAGGGTTAATGCTAAAAAACCTAAAACCTAAAACCTAATTATTTTTAGGGTTTACAAAAAAGCAATTATAGGTTTGTAAGAAAAAGGTTTGTGGTTTTATGGTTAAGTGAATTTAGTGTTTAAGGGAAAAAAATAAGTTAGTTTGCCAAAAACACACAGGGGAAGAAAAATTAACAAAAATAGGGTTAGAAAGTAAAAAGGAAAAAACAAATTCCAGGGGTGGGTGTTGAACCCACGCCCTTTGAATTTTCTCCCCCAAGCATTGCCACTGCGTCAGGCGCGCGTTCTTGTCAAGGGAATGGAATCATTGGGCCATATGTTAATCATGCAAAACATAAGAAAAAAGTAAAAAAACCTCAAAACACCAAAAGAAAGGGATCGACCCCACACCCTGGTGTAGTAATGCCTTAACACGCGCTCGCTTTCCACTGGGGTGGCTTTACATCTTATATCATAATTGAAACAAAAACAATTATATAATAAAACAAAATAACTGGACTGGAGAAGTGCTAGAGCCCTAGCTCTGGTTGTCTTCTCCGGTGACTTTTTTTTCCAACTTGCAAAAACAACAATTGTTAGCGATCCAAAGGGACCCTACCCCCTTAAATCAAGCCTCGGAGTTCAATGGAACCATTATTTTTGGCTGATTCGGGCTGATTTGTGAGGTATGACAAAAATAACATGGATCGGTGTAAGCATGGACATTTGGGATCCAGTTGTTATGGAGGCCATGCGATTGGTCTAACTTGCACCTTGAGATCTCAAAAGCATGTTAAATAAGTTAGTACACATTGAAACAAAAACGAAAATCTCTGTATGAATTTCATGAAAAAAAACGCAACAGACGATGCATGCATACTATTTTTGTGTGCTTTGGATCATCAATACCAATCCATTCTTACCCTATGGAGCTTCTGGAAGTGAATGGAAAGGTTGGTTTTCCTTGAGAGTGACTGCAATTAGGATTCTTGCTTTGCCCTAATTTTGATAATTTTAGAGTGTTTTCTTGTGCAAGGGTTTCGTGTCTGCTTATGCCTGAAATAGTGAAGATATATAGTGCTTGAAATTAGGGCAACCACGTTGGGCTTGTGTTGTAACTGTTTTTTTAATCAGATTCACCACCCTTAGTTTTTATCCTAAAGGAAGGGAGTATAAAGGAATAACCCTAAAAGTCAGAGATTCTAGATTTGGACTCAGTTTTATACAAAGGGAAGGTGTTAGGTACCCTTTATCTACCTTGTTCACATGTATACTAGGTTTAGAAGTGTGTTCTTAGGAAATAGGGTTTTTAATTATTATTGGGGAAAAAAGGATTTGAATTTTAGTTTGGGGGACTCGCCACGATTTGATCGATTTGATCGCGGTTTGGTTTGTGTTTTTTATAAGATCTCATATAATTGCTTTTGGATTGACCTTGAACTTTGTCTGGGTTGTAAATTGAGTTATCGTAGACATGGTTCACAGTTTGATTCGAAGACAATGCTATTTAATCCTTTTTTGAAAACTCATCTTGCGTTTTTATTACGTTAGTAAAAAATGTTTTGAGATTGGTTAGTTGTTTTGAGTGTAGAGCGACATGGCCAGATATTGACCACATGTTACTCGTCATGAAAGATGCAGAGAGAGTCTAATAAAGTCTCCCTTATGACATGGCAAGATATATGCCATGTATTGCTCGCGGATGAAGTATTTGGTAAATTTGCGTAGATTTTAATATTTTGATGTAAAATATTAAATTAATTTTTTAACATCATTCTAGAAATTCATCTAATTGAACTATAAAAATAAGTAACTAGAATAAATGCACTTAACCTAACAAGTCAAAGAACAATAATTAATTAAAATTAAGTTAAGTGTTAAGGGTGCAAGGACCAATTAAATTGGTGTGAAGTTAGTAAAATACTAGAAACTTTTAAAGAGTCCAAAACCCATTTTAATAGATCTTAATTTCTCTTATAAAAAAAAAAAAAAACATACAACAAGTATATGTGGCGCTCCACCTTGCTCTTTATGCTTGTTTCATTGTAACAAAAAAAAAAGACTTAAATTATATTTTCATTATTAAAAAATTAACCAGTCTCTATAAGACACATGGCGAATTAATAAAAGAATAAGATAAATACAAATGATATAACCATTACAAGTGGTATTAATGCAGAAAAAAAACACTTATCTTTCTCAAGACCATACTCAAACAGATATACTTTCTTACTTTCTTTCAAACCATTTTCCCTCAAAACTTATCATTACCCATTTTAATCCTCTCAAATCCAAACACATAAAACAGATGGTGGCTGGGAATTTCCTCTCTACCTTTCTGTTGTTCTGCAAAAAAAAAAAAAATTTCAGACAAAAAAACAATATTTTTCAGATTATAAATTTCGCGATTTTTGTTCAAGCTTGTGTTATTGTTGTGGAAATTTTTTGTTTATGGACATGGATCTGTGTAATCATGATTTGCGATTGGATTATAGTTGTTTTAGATTCAGCTTATTCAGGTAAGAAGTTAAGTTGCCTGTGATTTTTTTTAGAGCAATTAATTGTATTGAAAAAACATGATTATGTTTGTAATTCGGATTTTATATTTAATGAATCTTCAATTAGTTTCCATTTTGGTTGATTCAATACAATCTTCTTCTCACGATATGACCATGGGCGCTGCATTTTCTCTTCTATTTTTTATGGCTTTGACTCAATAATGCAAATAATGATATACTAGTTCTAATAACTTATAGCAATAACAATACGGTTCTATTCTATGCTAATTCTAATTCTATAGTAATGATTTTATCATAAAAATATAATAATAGTAAAAGTGATGCAAAAAATAAATCATAGACAATGCAAAAAAATAACGCTAAAAATAAGTATAATGATAATAAAGATAAAACTAATTAATTTAACTAATGAACTTGATTAAACTAATTATATTGATAAAAAAGTAACTAATTACAAATATTGACAATAATAATAAACAAAATTAAATTTTAAAATAGTAGGATTTGAACACAGGTCCTTCCATACTCGTAATGCTTACCTCGCTTTTACTTCTAGACCATTATACTTATTCGAAATAAAAATTGTGTTTAGAACTTATGAATGGTGGAACAAATTTGGGGTATGACAGCTTGGACCTTGGTAAGAAAGCTTTGTTTTATTTCATTTATTTTGACTTTTAAATAAATAAAACTGAAAAATAAATAAAATAAAAAACCAAGGGGTGTATGAAGTGATTTAGAGGTTCATATTGAGATCTATAACACGCATGGACCTTGAAATATAAGCCCACTAGCCCAAAAATTTAAGTTTGGTCACTTTTGGTTTCATGCATTTGCTCAAAATTTCCCGACTTGTACAAATCATGATTCTCTCAATTTTTATTATTTGAAGTGATCTTTTACTTTTTGTAAAGCTTAATATGTCCTACACAATTTCCAGTTTGGTCATTTTTGCATTTGAAGACTTTATCTTGATATAAGTTGCCTTGACAAAAAGTGTCTTTTTGTTGACTTTTGAAGTGACCTATAATGTATTGACCCATATCTCTCAAATGAAGCATTTTTTGGACTTGAGCTTAGAGAAACCAAGTTGAAGAGAATTGAATTTCCTTCAAAATGAACTTTGGTTGAGGAAAATCTGATGAAGCATGTGAAAGTTGTGCTTGGTCAAAGTTCACTTGACTTCTCTCTAAGAAAACCCTAATTTGACAACTTTTGACTTTTGATGAATCTTGAGTTTTCTTAATGAACCATGATCAACCCTTGATCAAATGATTAATATGACTTCAAAACCTTGATGTTGACCAAAAATCTTGATGTTTGACTGTATGTTGACCACAATTGACTTTTTATCCAATGTAGTTGATTTTCAGTCATTTGAGTCATTGACTGAGCAAACTTGTAATGCAAGGCTTGAAACTTGGCATGATCATTCTAGGAGACATATAAGAAACCATGAAATCCGCTTGAGGATTTAGAAACCCAATCTTCCTCGAGAAAAAAGAAACCGTAGTTATGGATCCATTGCTTAGGAGGATAATTTGTCTGATCAATTCTTGAGCAACCGAGAACCCTAAGAGCATGAGGAGATACCTTCAAGAAAATTAGAGGGGAAATTTTAGGGTACAACAAACATGCAAACATGTAATTCATGGACAGGACCAACAAGGGAGTAGCAGCATAAGAAGACGAACTGACAATTAATTATGAGTGAGACTCTGATGACGACAAAGAGTTACTTTCTTCTTTATCTCGCTCTGAACTTGAAATTGGTTTATCTGAATTAATGAAAAGGTATCAATCTCTTTTAAGTAAACACGAAATCTTGAAAAAGAATTTTATGGCTACTTCAGACAACACTACTATAAATGAACACAATATTTCCGTCTTAAATGAAAAACTATTTGTTTTACAAAAATCAAACATTGCTCTGAAAAGTAAAGTGTCTAGATTAGAAGAAGAGACTCTCTCTAACACATCTGTTATTGACGAAGTAATCAGATATGATAGAGCTTTTCAATACTTCCTTGCTAAAAGCATAGATATAAGCAAAATGGCTTCAATGATCTATGGTGTTAGTAGAAATGGAAGTAAAGGCTTGGGGTATTTAGGACCATCAAAGAAAATTGATGAAATTATGGATATCAAACTAAAACCTCTTTATGAACATTTCGTACTTGCTAGCACAAATTTTAAATATCCAGAACAAGAAGGTTCTGATACTTCTGTAGCACAAACACAGACACAGAAGAAAATCTTTAAACCTAAGTATCATGCACAAATTTCACATGATTATTCTGTTGCACAAAAGTCCAAAGGTGTCAGAACCTCTGGAACTTCTAACAAAAGAGAACCAAGAAAGTGGGTACCTAAGGATAAGATAATCTACAATGTAGATCTCCTTAATGGCGCCACTGAAACACCAACCATGGTACTTGATAGTGGATGCTCACGACACATGACGGGGCGAAAGGCATATGTTCCAATATTTGGAACATAAATTTGGAAACATGAACGGTGTCAGAAGCAACCAGAAAATAAAAATTATTGACTCTGAAATTCGTATAATCCAAGATGCTATTGTTAGAACAAGACCAAACTTTAAATCTTCTGGAGAAATGCTTCTGAGCTTCAATGATTTTGCTTATTCCAGCTTATCTTCTGAATAAAGTCTTGATTTTGAAGATTGTCTAAAGAATCAACTGACAATATATCATACTTCTATGAGTAATGTTTCTATTCTCTTTAAATCCTATTACTGCTAATTCTTTCAGAATCTCAGTAATCATAGGATGTTTCGGTCATAAATGTCTTTGATTAGATGGAAATCTTTTAGTTTTCCAGAATTCTGAGGATATTAAACGTGTCACTTAGTTAAATGTATTGATTAGTGTGTGTAACCCTTGGTTATGCTTAATCATCACACGCTACCTAAGCTATGCAATGAGTAGTGTACGTATTTATTGGAATTTGATTGATATCATAATTGTTACTTTCACTTAATGCTCCTAATTATTATGTCTAATTAAAACTCAGTTTTATTTTATATTCTCTCACTTCTCAAACACTATAAATCTCACACACCCACTCTCACTGCATCATAAATTAGAAACCGTAAAGCCCTCTTCTCCTTCAACCTCCCCTCTGGGTTCTCCGTCAATAATCTTCAACATTCATTCATATTCTTCCTCAAATCAAATTCATGATGACCAATTCTAAAATATAAGCAGTTAAGTTCGCAAAGGAATTTGATCAAGCGTCAAAACCACCGGTTACTTCTGGCTCTTCATTATCATCTACCTTCGCTCCATAATCTTCATCAGTTCCTCCTATAACGAAAACTATTGCTACTTCTTCTTCTACAGAAGTTAATGAGAATCACATCACTCAGCAAACTTCTCAAGTTCATTGCATCCTTCCTCCATAAGAACTAGATGTTCTTCGGGAATTTTTGGTTGATTTCGACAATTTAGGTAATAATGGAGTTGACTTTAAAGAAGAATTAAAAGCTCAAAGATGGGAAAATTACTTTAACAGGCTTCATGGTCCTATTTATGGAGATTTAGTAAAATATTTCTGGAAGAATGCTAATTGTGATGATCTGCATATTATCTCGGATGTCATCGGATTAAGGATTGTTATAACTGAAAAATACATTGCTGATCTTCTAGGTTTGAAGTTTATGGAAGGAAAACGTACATACAAAATGGAGAAGAAGTTTAAGACTACAAAGAGTAAATTGAAGTTTGCAAATAAGTCACTGAATCAAGTACTGTTTAAAAATTACTCTGATGAGAAGACAAATTACAAGAGCAAGGATCTCCATCCAAACCTTAGAGTTTGGTACAAGATCATTTTAGACTGTATAAACCCTGGACCTTCTTCAAACTCTTCTGATTACATCAATTTTAGTCAAAAGTTTATGTTGTACTATTTATTAACCAAGCAAAAAATCAATATTCCCTATGTCTTATTCAATTATCTGAAGGATATTGTTAAGAAGGCGAGAACCACTGAAAATCCTAAGAAGAATGTTCCTACCTATGTCCCTTGTGGATGTCTTCTAATTGACATTCTTGTGAAAAGTGGGTTAGTAAAATCTCTAGTGGAAGAAGCAAATTACACTGAAGATCTATCTCCCAGCATTGGAGAATCATTTACTGCGCAAAACTTAAGTAACATGCAAATAATTGAAAAGATTAAAGTCAACCCTATGGGTGAACCATTTAAAGCCACTACTCAAATAAGGATTCCAGTCACTGATTATCCTCTTTTTTAAAGATGGATAATATATCAAGTGTTGCTATATATGTTTGGATGATGGAAGAAGAAGGACATAATATGTCTAATTTTGATTACACTAAAATTCCTGCCGAAGAAGTTGATTGTGGTGTAAGAAAAGGAAAGAAAAGATCAAACACTTCTGAACCAAAGGAGAAGAAGAAAGCTAGATTTCTTCAAGAAACAATTTTGGGAACTACAATGTCTGAGCCATCAAGTAAGACTGATACTCCTACTTCTGATCTAATTCTCTATGATACTTAAAAAGAGAAAAGAAAAGAATTATCAAAGGCTTCTGAGTCAAAGAAAAAGGGAAAGAAGAGACAAAGAACTGAATCCAGTGAATCTGGAAAATCATGTAAGTATTCTATTCTTCCTACTACTATTTCTGATAATTCCCCTGAATATGTTAATGCACCTTTAACAACTGCAATGGCACATTTCTCTGAATCAACCATGTCCAATTCACAAGTCATTTTTAAACCATATGTCTATGCCCCATTATTCTCATACATTTCAACAACTACTACCAATTTGAACAAACCTGCATTAGAATCATCAAATAAAACACCACCATTCCAAACACTGTTTCAATTTGCATTCACAAACCAAAACTAAAACATAAATGAATCTATCACTGGTCCATCTGATTCTCACTCTACACCCATACAAATCACTATATCTACTGCACCCTGTGATCCTTTTTCACCTGAACCATTTGTTTTACTAGTTTCTAAACAAT